CTTCTAATTTATATTTATATTAATTTATTTAACATTAAATATTTACTATATTGGTATAATTTAGATATATTAAAGTAAAATTTTATAATGATAAATGATTGATCGTTAAATCAAGGAAAAAACTATTTTTATAATAATCATCAGTATAATGAGAAAAAAATCATTATCAGTTTATCATAAATAAATAATTATAGCTGGTTTACAATCAGAGTTTGATATATGCAATATCATGAAATTATAATAAAATCGCTATATATTGATAAATTTTATTATAAGTAGTTTTGGTTTAAGAATAAAGTTTATTATAAGTCAAAATTAGTTTATTGTAGATCATTATATCAAGTTTTGACTATATATTATATTATTTATAAAAATTAGATTAATTTAAAAATAATTTATCAAATTAATAAATACAATACATCAGATAATTAAAGTAAATCTACAATAACAAATCATCACCTCAATGATAAATAAAAATTATTAAAAAATTATTCATTATAATTTAATAAAAAATCAATAAGCAATTTCAATAAGTTCAACAAAAATTGGTCAAAAAAATAAAAAATAATGTGGTTTCTTAACAAAATTTTAATATAATCACGATAATGTTATTTAGCCAATATATCAAAATTTCTTATAATCATGATATCATTTTATTTTGTAACTCTACAAATAACTATTCAATTATAGTAATAAATTTATTAAGATTAGTTCATTTTAAAGAGACAAACAGTTATTTTAAAACTTCTTTTTTAAGCTTTTTAATAGATTTTAACTCTTCTTTTTTCATATTAAAAGATTTTCTTGTTACTTTAAATATAAAATTACTTTACTATAAGCCTCAATAACTTCTTCTAAAAGTAATTATTAGTGATAAAGAATCTTCCTTTCTTTCATTTTCTTGATTAGGTAAAACTGCTTTTAAAATTTCTTCATTAAATATTATTTTGTCTATAATTTTAAACTTATCATATTTAATAAATTCTTCAGTAGAAAAAAGATTAACAAATTCTAGTTTATAAATTTATACTTGAACTTCTTCTATCTCCTTTAACTGTTTAAGTTCAAATAATATATTATTATTAATTTCATCTTTATTTTCATAATTATTATTAGGTAAAATATCTGCTTTTACCTAACAATTTTTAATTGTTAATTTATAACATTATTCTATGCTTATGAAACATATTTTATATACTTTTTAATATCAATTTCAGAGGATTTAATATGGTATTCATTAAATTTATTAAAAGTTTTAACCTAATTTTATAAATATAGCTTTTGATATTATGTCTAAAATAAGTTAAATTAGAATTAAATATAAATAAAGTATAAATATAATAATGTTAATTATATTTTAACTAAAGAATTATTAAATTAATTACATTTTCTTCTTAAAACTATTTATGATACCTTGATCATAAGGTTAGAGATATGTAGTAATATTTGAGAGAAGGAATTAAATAGTGATATTAGTCATATAGATAGTTTTATAAAGAGTATATATTAGAGCATTATTCATAAGAAGGAGAATTTTTTGATTTTGTCTTCTTATTTTTTGTATTTAATTTTTTTATATAATCGTTTCAGGTTGAAATCTGCATCCAACTTTTTTAGTTTCAATAGTATTTGATCAGAAGTATTTTTCATCAATGTTCTTAATAACTCTAGGATTTTCATACTTGTATATGAACAAAAGTGTCAGCTTTTCACTTACTTTTATATTACATGTAAGTAGGATCATTACACAATTCTTTGATTATTTTATTTCTGATATTTGTTCATTAGATATCGTTTAATATAGTTTTATCTTCTAAATTTATTATAATTAAATATATCTTCAGGACTATAATTTTTTAATATTTACCAGGGATTCTTTTTTATTATTTCAAGATTTTAAATGACGTACTTGCAGCTTTCCTATGTATATTGACTATTTTAGGTTGTATCATTTTTTAAAGTTATTCACCTAACTACTAGATTCTTTAAACTTATTCTCCTTTAATAAAAAAGCAAAACTTAAAGCTTTTGTTGAAAGAATATCATTAGTAATAATGAGGTTAACTTTAAGTATATTATCTATTCAAATTGCTAACACTTCTTCAATAAATGAGGATAGAGTTTTTTTATCATACTTCAAATTGGCTTGATATGAATTAGTATTCACAGAAAGCCAATAGTCTTTCTTTTTTAAAATGTCACTTATCATACTTTCACTAACATTATATTTATTAGCTAAGTCTTTTTGTTTTAAAAAAGGTGATAATATTTTTTTCAAATAAAATTCTTTTTTTATGTAATTATAAGAAATTTTTATTTTTTTTAAAGGTTCATATTGTTTGTTAGTAGTATTAAGTTATTTCTTTGAGTTTACTTTTGGCATTATATAAAGAAAAAATATGTAAAAGATAAAATTGTAAAAAAAATCATAAAACACAAGATATAATACATAATATGAATATTTATTTATTGTTAATTTTATTTAAAAATTAGGTATAGAGAATTATATAATTTTATATACATAAATCTAGTAAATTCTTTTAATTACCAAATTCACTATAGTAAGGTTTTTTTATATTTGAAAATCTGTCTGATACTGAAAATTCATTGTATTATAAAATTCGTTATATTAAAATTCACTATAAAAAGAATTGACTGTATTTATACATATTGAATAATTAATAAAATAACTAAATTAAATATATCTAATGAAATAAAGTTGAACTATTATTAGAAAATAAATTATTATATTAATAAAATTAATAGGCTTATAGGTAATAAAATTAACATATAAATTAAATGGACTATTATGCTAAAATTAAAATGAAATAAAATCTAGAGCTATCAAATGTTTATTCATTATTTTATTTATAATGTTAATCTTTTTAAAGTCATATTTTAATTTGTAAAATATTATATTTTTCATTGAAAATATAAGTTAGAATATATATTCATTAAATAGCATTAATTATATATAATTTTATTTCTATATTTTTCATGATTTAATAGTTATATAAATATGTGTTTATAAAGAAAAATTTTTTATTATTAATCTGATTCATAATTCATATCCTACACTATATGTGATAATTATAATATATAAATATTAAAAATAAAGCCTATAGGTAAAAATATCATTAAATAATAAATAAAATGAAAATTTTATTTTTATATAAATAAGTCAATTAATTATTTTAATACGTTTACTTAATATATTTTCACAAATTATATTATATTTCTTTATATATATTAATATTCTTATAGAAAGAGATATGATATAATTAAATCTGTTAATAGAATTATAAATTAATTTTTAAAGCATATTGATTAGTATAAAATAAGATTAAAAGTGATATATTTTAGGTAAGTATTTCATAAGATATAGTAAAATCTTATTTTTTGTAATTATCATACCAGTGTTCTGGTATGACAAAATAAATTTTAATATTATTCAATATAAATCTAACTTTAACTTATTATGAAATATTTTCAAATCATTTATTTTATTCTAAAAATATATAATGAGAATTTTTATTTTTTTTTTACAAAAAGTATTTTTTATTATAATAAAATGTCTTGAATTTATTTGATTGCTATATATTATTAGTTTAAGTCTGATAGTTATTTTAAGTTCTATTAAGTAATGTATCAATAAAAAATTATGTATTTGAATTTATATTAGATTTTATCAAAATCTGTTATCTGTTAAAATATTTGTTATAAATGACTTTGTTTGCTTTTTAATTTGATTTTTCAAATCTTATAAGTATTATGTATTTATATTTAAATGAAGTTTTTAAGTTGATTGATTATTTTTATATTATAATTAATATCTAAGTTATTTAACAAGATTTATCATATTTTTCAAATAGATTAAAATAATATGATCAGTGATCATAATAAATTTATATTTATGTAGATAATGAAATAGTATTTTACAGTCTAAATAAAACTAAGCATTTTAATTTTATAACAGAATTTTTTAGGAAGTTTAACGTTTTACTTATATAAGTAATAATGTGATCTCTTTTTTATTTATCTTTTGAGAATTAATTGCTTTTAGAGTAAAAAGAGAAGCATCAGTATAAAAAATAAATAGTTATCAGATTTAGAATATATAAGAATTAGCAACGTTATCAATAATATTTTGAGGTAATATTAATAATAAACAGTTTATATAATAATGTAAATAAATGAATATTGCCTCAGTTAATGCTTTGTATTGTATAATATTTTAAGAGAATAAAAAGTAAGTTATCTAATTAAATTATTAAAACACTTCTTTACTAACTAAATTTTATACCTATATTTATATAAAATTGAATATATATAATTATTGAAGAAATAAAGAAATAAATACTATAAATATAATAAATAATATATATGTAAAAAAATTAAAGTAATAAAAATAAAATACAATATAAAAGAAATAGATGTCATAAATGATATAGAAAACATAAAGGACTTCAATAATTTCTTAAGTGATCGTTATCAATTGATCATTAAAGTCTTTTTATAATAATATAATTATTATTAATAAGTATTAATACAAAATTATTTCTAATCCAAAAATGTTATTTTGAATCATATAATAAACTATTACTATTTTCTGATAAAAATATTTGAATTATATCTTTATATGTTATTTTATTAATAAATACTTTTTTTTAAATCTTGCATTAAGAGAATCAGTATATTGTTGAACCAATATATTGAAATCAGATTTAGAAATAATTTTTATTCAAAAAATATATTCTTGATTAATAATAATAGCAGAAGTTGATAAAGTTTGAGATATATTTATTTTTTAAAAATAATATAAATTGAAAGTAAAAGTGAATGTAAAAATTTAGTGGTTTATATATTTGTAAAATCCAATAAAATATATGCTTTATTTAACAATAAAAGGTTTTTTTTAAGGGATATATATATAATAAATTTTATTTGACTTTAAAAAAAAAATATATTTTATTTCTTTTCGTTTATTCAAAGAAATAAAAATGGAAGTTAATAAATATTTGCAAAAGTTTTTTTTTTAAAAAAAAAAAATAGACGTGGGTATTTTTTAAAGAAACAAACATTACTAAGCCTCCTTTGCTTCGCCTCCTACTTATTTCTCTTTTTCGTGTTAGGTTAATTGGATTGGTTGGTGCGATTCTCAAATAGTAAAGATCACCATGATCAGAAATGCTGATGGCGGTGCGGGCTCCGGAAGCTGTCGACTAGAATGGGGGGAGTCTCAACTTTGTAAATTCTCTATGGTCTAAAACTGCCGATTAACTTATGCCCGCCCGATAAAAAGAAAATTCTCATTTTTCACTATTAATAATAAAGTCTATACAGCGTATGCGAAATTTCTTCCACATCAAGTTTGTAATTTAGATAAGCTAATCACGTTACGGATCATATGATTTACTATGTTCATAACTCGATTTTAATAGCAAACCTCCCATTTGCTTAATAATGTAAACTCTTTTACTTCCAAACTTAGTTCTTCCTTAGCTGTTTTACAGATAATCTCTTTTACTCCAAACATCTCCAATATTTATTCCGCAAAAGCTTTATTTTGAAATAACCTTTAACTGGATAGTTCCGGTTTGGTCAACTAAATTAGCAAAAATAAGTTTACCAGAAACATTAATATGTGACTACTCGAACGTTATTAAAAACAAATTAACGTAATGTTAATGGGGTAAAAATGTTAATTTAATCATTATAATGATTTTCTTTAATGGTATTTTATATTATACTCTGTCGAAAATAGGATATGAGAATAAATATTAGCTTATACTAGTCTTAATTAATAAAAAATGAACAATGTAAATTTGCTGCGCTATTATTTATTCAAACGTGTTTGTAATGATGTTTAACGATTGAAGTATATGAAAGTTCTTACAAATATTAAAAATTAAAATTTTGGATTCTTATTTATCGAAAATATTATCGTTAAATATTTTTAAATATTGAGTCACGAGATAGTTTAGATTTAAGGTTACCGGCAAAACCCTACCATAAAACCATAATGATCAACATATTAAATCCCGTCGAAAGTCAAAATCAGCGTCTAAAAAAGTAAATAATTGACTTAACTTGGACGATGCCCAGAACCAAACTGATTAGACTATTGCTTATTTGTTGTAATTTTTCTAATCATCACGAATGAAACAAATATCCACCACCACCGCTTTAGGCATTTTGGTCGAAATAAAAATGTACAATTTCTAATTGAAAATTTAAGTATACTGTATATAGGAGTAAATACATGATTAATATGGTTAATATTACCTTTTAATTCTTCTGAATGAAGAATTTTCTTAACATTAGATCTGGCACTTCTCAGGTCCAACCGTTCACACATTCTTACCAACTTCATCTAAATCAAATAAATTTTGCTTACTTTTTTTTTTTTTGCTGTAGTAAATATATTTTGAGCTTTGTTGTTGCTGTTGGACATCCTTATAAGGAAAAATTTTTAATTAAATTTTTTTTTAGGTTTATTTTTGAAAGGCGCAATTGCAAATTTTTAAATTTGCTGAAGAATTTTGACCAATTATTGTCTACGCAGTAAAAGATGCAGTGTTAATTTATTTTTTAGATCGATAAAAGAAAAATTCAATTTTATAAGTTCAAAAATTAATTACCAGCTTCCGCTTATTTTTTTACATCTTTAATTTTTTTTTTTAAAAAATAAATAAATATTTAAATAAAATCTATATATAAATCTATATATATGTTGCAATATGAAAAATTCTAATTTATATATAATAACTTGCAAAAAATAAACATATATTTTATTAGATTTTACAAATATATAAACCACGAAATTTTACATTCATTTTTACTTGCATTTTATATTATTTTTAAAAAATAAATGTCTCAAACTTTATCAACTTCTGCTATTATTATTAATCAAAAACATATTTTTAAACAAAAATTATTTTTAAATCTGATTTCAATAAAATAGTTTAACAATATACTGATTCTCTTAATGCAAGATTTAAAAATTTTGATAGTTTATATGATTACACAAAACAGATGTTTTTCATATAAATATTTCTTATCCCTAATGCAACAACATTTTATAACTTCTAAAATTCTCTATCGTTAGCTTTACAACGATTTATTCATTAAAATCTCCATCATTATTATATTTTCATCGAATAATTCATTAAATAAAACATGGGAGTCAAATAAATTTAAAAAACTTTACATCAATATTATATAATAATTCTAAATAACTTATATTAATATTATATAAACTAATAGTTTTTATTAAATAATTTTAGAAATCTTTCTAATTTGCATGTTGAAATTAATAGAAATAGACAAACCTATCAAATCTGATATATGGGTTCTTTATAATAGAAAGGGAAAAAACTACCAAAAAAATTTTTTTGTTTTATAAGCTAAATATTATTTTTTTAATAAAATAAGTTTAGATTTAACATTAACTCAAAAAATATTTTTTTTGGTAGTTTCCTTCTTTTCTATTGCAAAAGTCTATATCTGCTAAATAAAACATATTTATTATTTATATCATTAATATTATATTTATCATTATTATTATTTATTTTATAATTAACATTATTAATATATCTATTAGCATTATTATTATTATCAATAGTATCATAATTATAATTATTGTCATAGATTTCTTTAATTGTAATTTTCTTATATAAAGAATATGAAAATTTTTTAAAAAAAGAACAAATTCCAAAATTATATTTAATATACATTTATAATAATAATAAATAATAATAACATTTTACAAATATTAAACTTATAATTTTATTCTTATTCACTTAATGAATTTAAAAAAATAAAGATTTTAAAATCATGTGATAATTGCGATAAATAAAACAAAAACAATCTTTCTTTATGATTTTGGCTTTGATTAATAAAAATAGGATGGTTTAATAAAATTGAATTAAATTTCATGATTCTGGAATATACTAAATTCGTTATAATAGATATTTTGAAAATTTTAAAAAACTTTATTATAAAAACAAAATTAATACAGTAAATAACATTAAACAGATAATTAATATATCTACAACTGCAAATGAAGCAGTAAGATATAATGAAGGATCAGGTTGGATTTGGTATGATTTTACATCATTTCTTTCACCACATTTTAAAGGACTTCTAGGAATAACAAAATATTATCATTTTCAATTTTCTAAGTCAGAATTAGGCAAAGTTTATAGTTCTAAAAAATTGGGAGGTGAAGTTCCATTATTCTTTTAAATAATAATTGTAATTTCAATCAACTTCCTTTGATTCTTAATACTCAACTTTTGATATTAAAACGTTAATGGTATTTGTATAACAAAATTCGTCAGTATATTAATGAAGAATTTAAAGATGTTTATGTCCTCTTCCTACTAGTAATAATAAAGATATTTAGATATTTTATATATAAATATTTTTGGTCGTTAATAAATTTTATTAAAAATTTAATAACTTTTTAAATGATAATTTATTATATTTATTTATATGAACAATAACTTAGAATATTAAAAAAAATATATTCTGAAAAAGGTTTAACTAACGTCATTATAAATAATAAAATAAATAAATAATAAAATTTAAATTTATAAAAAAAAAAAACAATTTCAAAAAATAAAAAAAAATATAAGCCTCTCTGATCAGATCAATCCAAGGATTCTAATGCTTACAAAAATGAAAAATTAAGTATAGTCAACTCTTTCTACAACAAATTTTAATATAACGAATTTTACAATACAACAGATTTTCAGTGTCAGACAGATTTTTAAATATAAAAAAACCCTTACTATATCGAATTTAGTAATTAAAAATTCGTATT